CAAATATATTATTTTAATTCAAGTGTTATTTCTTTGATTTGTGTTTGTAGAATTATAAACGTGCGCGATTTGGGGTCCATTTTCTCCTTTTTATTGGGAATCCTTTTGTCTGTAGAATGTCGAGCAATCTAACCGATGCGTCGTGCAAGGAGTCGCGCGGCAAATGATGCAATAAAATGGAGTGTTTTGATTGGTCAATTTGTAATTGACGGATGATGCGACGTGTGACACGCTCAGTGGCAATTCACCCTTAACTTTATTATGTTTAAAATAGAGTTTTGATGGAGGGCGTTGGAGTGATAGGTTATTCTTCAATAGAGTGGTTTTAATTAAGACGTTTTAGCTTTATCCAGTACTTTATCAGTGCTTTCAAACAGTTCTTTTCAGAACTAGAGGTAGAGATAGGTTTAAGGAAGTGAGAATAACATAAAATTATAAATAGGAAAAGGTCAGGATACAGGTAAGTCCCCCCGGTGACGGGAACTATTGGTCCGCACAGATAAGGTTAACAAGAGTTACAGAAAGAATACGTCGCTTAAAAGCACGATTAGAAAGTTGAAGGAGAGGTTGTACACCAATATGAGCCAAGATAGTGATAAGAAGAACAGCTGCATTAAAAGGCCGGCGACGAAAGACGTCCTGGATCAATTAATGGACAATGGACAATAAGAGAAACAAGCGGAAAAATCAGAATGGGAAAAAATAGAGTAAAGTAGATTAAAAAGAAGAAGAAGATAAAGGATAAGGATTTGAACGAACAGAAAAGAGGGGCAGAAAATAAGAACGTTATTGGTCAAGAAGGCATGGAGAAGGAGAATGACCTATCAGATCAAACTATGGAAGTAGAAGAGGAAGGGGAGATGATTCAAGACGATGATACAAGACAAGTTGCAAGATATACGAGGTAAGAACAAAGAATTAAACAATAATCAGAAGAAAATGGCGGATAAAGGTCGAAAAACAGATAAAGAGATTTATATCAACGATAACGGATTGCTTAAGCACATAAGTGAGATCGACTTATATCAAGTTAAGAATAAATTCACATTTGACGAGCAGTTCAGAAGTAGATACAAAGTCACATTGAAAATAGCGGATCGAAGTGGCACGTCAAAGAAAGGTAGTAATTATTTTAAATTACTTAGTGTTAAAGGAGAAAAGGATAAATCCTAGAAAAATCACAATAAGTTTCAAGTCGGCTATCTTACTTTTTTAAATCCTATAGATGCAAATAACGAGATTAGAAAGATTGAGGATAGCGAAGCAACAGGCTATTCGGCGGGGATCGATGATAGAGACAACTATTTTAAGGGTGCAGTGCCTATATACACGGACACAATAGATGATTTTTTCGATCTACTACTTTTCGATCGAACTAGTCTAGAAGGTGCTAAGATTAGAAAGAATGGTAAAAAGGAAGTGAGACAAAGAGGCTAACAAATTGATCGAGGAACCAATTGATTGTAACTTTCAAAGACAATCAGCCTAGAGACAAAAAGTTTTTATTGGATTGTCAGAAAAGTCATTTTTTCTATGTTTTTCAAAGGTCATTTATTTATATAAAGAACAAAGATCAATCAATAATATATTTCCCGTTTTATTCGATAACTTTTTGCCATTTTTCAGTGAGTTTCATAATTTCTCGTTCATAGAAGGACCTGTCTTTATCGGCGAAAAATTGAACAAGGTGCTGACAATCATGCTGACAAGATTTACAGTCTTATCTGAATTAAATGTTATATCATGCAAGGAGTTTTGAAGAGAGCGAAACAAATGGAAGTCTGACGGCGCAAGGTCAGGCGAGTACGGTGGGTGTGACAACACATCCAAGCTCCAATAATTTTTGATGGGTCAAACTTGTGTGTGTCGTAACGAACATAACTCCTTTACGATTAACAAGCTCTGGATGTTTCTAGATAATGGATTCGTTTAAACTGTCCAATTGCCGACAGTACACATTCGAATTGATCGTTTGGTAAGAGCTCGAAAAACACGACACTTTTAAAATCCCATCACATTGAGAACATAATGTTTTTCTGATGAATGTTTGCTTTTGATATCGTTTGAGGCGAATCATCACATCGGGACCAAGACTGTTTGCGCACCACATTGTAAACAATCCACATCTCACCAGTTATCAGTCTCTTTAAAAAAAGGATCATTTTCCTCATGTTTAATGAGCATATCGCAGATGTTTATACGTGCCGTCAAATGAACTTCTTTGAGTTCATGAGAAACCCAAATGTCGAGCTTGCTTACGTATCCTAGCTTCTTCAGGTGGTCGTGAACGCTTGAATGATGGATGTTCAATGTTTCTGCAATCTCTCGTGTCGTGTAACGTGGATTTGACTTGATCAATGTCTTTATTTTGTCGTTATCAACCTCGGTGGGTCTCCCTGATCGAGGAACGTCGTTAAGATCAAAATCATCAGCACGGAATT